GATCTGAAATCGCTGCAACCCTCAAAAACGCTAAGATGCCACCTAGCAACATTAGCAAAGATGAACGTTTTGAATTATCTCAATTAAAAAAGAGAGATGATATTGTCGTCCCCTCAGCCGACATGGGCAATGCCACTGTCATCATGGACAAAACAGAATACAACAACAAAATTCAAGAACTACTCAACGATGGCAGCTATACAAAAATAAAAAGAAATCCCACCAACAGCCTGGTTACCAAAACGAACAAAATCATTTCTGATTCAACAGCATTAATTGATGAGACCAAACAGTTCTCGTTGAAACCCTCTGCTGCCAGACCACCAAGATTATATGGCCTTCCAAAGATACACAAAGAAGATACACCCCTTCGTCCCATCGTCTCTACTATCAAATCCCCCACCTATAAACTTGCACGTGTTCTTGCTGATATACTGCGACCTTTCACTGGAAAAACCACCTCTGCGGTACTAAATTCTACTGACCTGGTATCGACAATCAAAGACATTTCCCTGTGCCCAGACGACCTGCTTGTCAGTTTTGATGTGGTGTCCTTGTTCACCAAAGTCCCGGTACCTGACACCATCGCTATCATTGAAGACCTGGTTCATCAAGGACTGCATACTGATGTACCCCCCCTGGTGAGACATTGCTTAACCAACACATACTTCACCTGGAATGGAACTTTCTACAAACAAACTGAGGGCACCCCAATGGGCTCCCCCCTATCTCCGGTTGTAGCCAACGTATTCATGGAAAAATTCGAAACTGACGCCATCCAGACTGCCACTCTACGCCCGACCTTATGGAAGAGGTACGTGGATGACACCTTTGTCATCTGGCCACATGGCCGGCCTGCTCTAGACCAATTCCGCGACCACATCAATTCCATACACCCAGCCATCAGATTTACCATGGAGGTCGAAAAAGATGGCAAACTACCATTTTTTGATGTCTTAATTAAAAGGAGACATGATGGTTCAATGAGCCACTCTGTCTACAGGAAAGCTACCCATACAGATGCTTACTTGAAACCGGATTTCCACCACCATCCATCCCAGAAGAATTCCCTCATCAAGACTCTATACCATAGAGCCCAATGCATTTCTGACCAGGAACACATTACCAGTGAACTCAAGCACGTACACCAGGCTCTCAGGGCTAATGGTTACTCCGACTACACAATCCGCAAAGCCATCACTCCAGTCATGAAGAAGGATCCTCTTGTGGAGCCACTCAAAACCATCACCTTACCTTACATTGCAGGGGTCACTAAAAAGATCTCCAAAATCCTGAATAAACACAAGATCCAGGTCCGATTCAACACAGTACATAAAATACGTGATCTAGTTCCATCAGTAAAAGATGCTGTTCCAGACATACAGTACCCGGGCGTTTACAAACTAAAGTGCCTCTGTGGTAGTAGCTACATTTGAGAAACCAAATGACATATCTCGGACCGCATCCGCGAACATAAAGCAGACTTGAAACACGGTAGAACGAACTCCTCTGCCATGGCAGATCACTGTTATAATTCAGTGGGCTCACATGACATTGACTTCTCCAAGACGGAGGTTCTTTGCAAACCAACCGGCTACCATGAGAGATTCGTTCATGAGGCCATTAACATATACAAGCACAGAGACAATTTCAACCGAGAAGATGGATTCTGGCTTAGTAACCATTGGAAAGATGTTTTAAACCATTTCCGTTCTTAATTAATTGCATTTTACAATGACCTTCAGACCGCAGCTCTTTCGCTGGCATTGACTCTTATTACCTCTAACACCACGGTTAATGGTATGGTTTACAACATGGAGTATAACAGCGCATTGCAACTGTCTCTCTCCCCCTCCTCTGTTCAGACCATGGATGAACTCGTCCGTCTGAACGGGGCCCGTAGCTATCCGTGTTGCTAAAGTTGAGGGTAAGAATCCACCCATTTTTTTTCGCCAGATAGCATTGTGATATATAACGACTTATTGTTGGTAGCTTAGCTGATTTGGAGAATATATAGAGTTTATTGATAACATTGAGGTAATTTATATTTTAGTTTTTTATTGGTTCACTATGTAGTATTCATTATATATTGTAGTGTATACCCAGTTACTGTGAATAGCTCAGATATGTAGGCCTTGACTTCAACATAGCCATTTCTGTGACCAGTCACAAGCTAATCACTCAGTTATTTCAATGCTAAATTCGCCTAGTGATTTCAATGCTAAATTCTCCTGTTTGATTTGTACTTGGTGCCTCTGTGAATGTATATGCTCTGACTTTAACATAGCTTTTTCTGTGACCAGTTACAAGCTAATCACTCAGCTATTTCAATGCTAAATTCTATGCTAATTCCTTTGTCAAGGGGTGCCTCTGCGGATGTGTATACTTTAACTTAGCTATTTCAATGCTAAATTCTATGCTAATTCCTTTATCAAGGGGTGCCTCTGCGGATGTTTATTTTTTAACTTAGATATTTCAATGCTAAATTCTATGCTAATTCCTTTGTCAATGGGTGCCTCTGCGGATGTGTATGCTTTAACTTTAACATAGCCATTTCTGTGACCAGTCACAAGCTAATCACTCAGCCATTTCAATGCTAAATTCTATGCTAATTCCTTTGTCAAGGGGTGCCTCTGTGGATGTGTATGCTTTAACTTTAACATAGCCATTTCTGTGACCAGTCACAAGCTAATCACTCAGCTATTTCAATGCTAAATCCTATGCTAATTCCTTTGTCAAGGTGCTTTGTTTCTTCTCACACAGCTTAAAGGTCGCGATCTGAGCGTGGCTTTTTCACTCCAGCGCTGTCCTCCAGACAGTCTCGTCCATTCATCTGATGAAGGCCGCTTGTGTTGTGGCCGAAACGTCGTGAGAATATTATTGTTATTTTATTTTATCAATGTATTATTTTATTCTCATTCTACGTGACTTTACCGAAAGAACCAAAGAAGACTGGTCTCTGATTGGGTATTAATACAATACATCGATAAATTGGTCTCTGATAGGGTATCGAGACCATACTTTGATAGCCTGGTCTCTGATGGAGACAAGAGACTAAGAATGATTATTTAGACTGGAGTTATTCCATGAGCTATGAAGCCTACGAATGTGCCTCAGTGACACACGTCGGCCTTCACGATTTAAAGCTGCTTATACGGCGACGTGACTCGCGTGCGTCCCACAATGCACTGCACAAACATGTCGGTATTGCACGCGGGGTGGCCAATCGTCACAGCCGCGTTGGCACTCACGGCAGGTCGGGCCCGCACTAACGGCACGACGCCGACTCAGGCGCTGGTTCTACGCACAAACGGACGCGCGGTGGACCTCGCCCACTCGGGCTGGGCGCTCCGGTGCTAAGCCTCTCTGCGAATTCTTCGTGGTTTGAAAGTGTTATTTATTTATTTGATTGATTAATGTCATCCTTTAAAAAAGCCAAGAACTTTCTAAACACTATTATTGTACTGTATGTAAGATTGGTAGTTGGTTTAAATGTTTTCTGTGTTTATATCTATAAACAGTTGCATATCGGACCTTTGGTCAGGAACGTAACCACCTATATTATATTATTGCTTCTGGGAAAATCAGCCTCGACTTACATCGTTTTGACTTACGTCACCTTTTCTTGGAACGTAACCCAACGTGGGTCCGAGGGATTACCTGCTTTGTACATTCTGCTGTCAGGAATTTTAATTGAAAAAAATATTTTTTTCAAACCCACAATTATTTAAATGTTATATGTATGGTGACCACCTGGGAAGGCCTTCATCCAGGAGTCACAGGAATTCTGTATCTATTAGTTAAGAATTATATATACAGGATGGCCGAAAAGTCAAAACACATAGGGTTATTTCATTAATTTTAACACTGACATAAAACATTTTTAAATAGTTTATTCTTTAAGTGAATGTTTTATCCATTATCATTATGAATATAAATTTTTCTGCGTCGTTTTCAGGTGAAATTAAAAAAATTGAAAGAAAATTGATGAAAGACGAACGAGTTGAATGCATTTTTACGCATTATAATGAAGGCAGAGGTAATCGATGAAGACCTAAATTAATCTCAAAAGATAATTAATGCAATAATTTTAGTGGAAGTGAGTTATAACGTTTGTTAAAATAAATGAAAATAACCGTACGTGATTAGTTAAAAAATAATCTAACCCTATGCGGCCTGCCTTTTGGGCCACCCTGTATACTGTGTATATATTGACAAGGAACACGTCTGTGTAGGGTTAATGAATTACTCACAAGAGAGACGGCAAAAGCCACACAACGAGCAGCATGCTGCCGTTAACATTCGCGTTTTATTTGACACCCAACATCCACTCATCGACGCAATGTGCTCACGCGCCACATCGCAGATGCTACCTTCGAGCCATGATTAGCCGTCAAACCGTACCCCTCTATACTCGATGGTGGGGGTTGGTGATCCATTCGAGGATGATGCCGATGTTTCCATTGTGGGCCCAACGCCCCCCCCCCGCCCCGCCTGTGGTAGTTGACTTTGCAGAAGGTGTATAGGGTCACAAAACCTCAGATGTGAGTCATGACCCCAAGTGCATCAAAGGTCATCTGTTACTTTTTCCTTGCGTGGGTGCGTCTCTCTCTCTCTCTCTATGCCCCTAATGTCTCTTCCTCAAATCTCTTCCACTTGCGTCTCATCTTTCCTCGTGTCTCTCTCTCTCTCTCGCTCATCTCCCCTTGCGCCTTTCCTCTTGTCTCCTTCTCCTCGTCTGTCTCTCTCATCGCATTTCCTTATCTCTCACCTCGTGTCTCTCCCAGTGTCTGTCCTTCTGCCACGGTGGCCAGGAGATGTTAACTACCTCGCCTGGTATACAGGTGGTCGTGGATTCCATCCAGATCCTGACGCCTGCTGTATTTTTGAGTTTGCATGTCTCTCTCTCTCTCCCCGTGAACGCGTGGATTTTTATTAGGGACCTCCGGTTTTTCCCTCCACATTTAGAAACGTCACGCGTTTAAAGTCTTTGGCCGCTTGAAATTTCCACGTGATAAGCCACTTCGTTCGGTTATTATTTGTAATAGCCAGGTCACTTCTGAAAAAGATCGATATAGCTAAGTGGGCCTTACCCGGTAAAATAAAAACACAAAAACAGTTTAGTTTCGTCTATCGCTCTTCTCGCACTACTTCCTCTGCAAATCTCCCGTCCGAGTGCGTCTGCACCGTCTGCTCGCTCGTGTGTGCGTGGGGGGTCACTTCTCTCACTCGGTGGTTTTGCTTTTCTCCCGTAACCCCGACCTCGTGCGCAGGTATCACGTGATTTGACATTTGCTCGTCCGTTTGAAAGTTGTTCATCCTAAGAAGGAGGAAGTTAAATACTTTTCACTGTTAACTGGTAACCCCAACCACTCTCCACCATGGGTCCAGGAAAGGTTTCCCTGCTGCTGACCACACACCCACACGTACTACAGACAAACGAAGGACAGTTTTACCATTGTGCCCAGCCTCTGTAGACCGTTGCAGAGGCATTTGACTGAGTGGAAAATGGAGCAGCTCTCAAGAACCGGTGCCCCATCTACAACTGAGAAAACAAACAGCACGACATAGAGCGAGAAGGAGTCAGGCCAGACCTCTTCATGGCAACGCTAGAAACGTTTTTTTGAAAAAGCCCCCAAAATGGACAAAGATGAGGGCACGGCTGAAGATGAGCAGCAGCAAGAGAGGAGGAGCGCCGGGCAGGAAGGGGGAAGAGAAGGAATGACCGACCCAAGATGTTCGGGATGAGAGGGTGATGGTGGGAGGGGAGGGGAAGAGAAAAGGAAGAGAGCAGGCGGAAGTGAACAGTGCGGAGGAGCGGCGGCTGTTTTTACAGTGGGTGGGGAGAGTCACGTGATTTACGGGAGGCTTGAGCTGATTTGGAAAGAGAGATCTGTCGGAGAAACACAACTGGGAGACACAGTGGAGCGCGTGAGCCTGGGCAACTTACTGACGTTGTCCCGGGATCAACACAATTTATCTTGTGGCTACAGGGGTCTTGTGAAACAATTATTTACAATATAGACACACACACACATCAAAACACTGCAGTGTTTACACGCTCAGCTCAATGCGTATATCATCAGCGCAGGAATACGATATAACCGTTGAATGGATGCGTCCTCTGCATGCTGAATATTTAAAACTGTGACTGAAACCAGGGGTGGCTTTGTACAATGACCGGATTCCGTGCTCCATTGGACCGGGGAAAAAAATCCCTCCACCTACGGCCCCCGCATGATTCAGTCATCACTCGTCGAGACGGCGTGCACCTGACGGTTCATTTGACGCGACGATTATGTCCCCTTTCCAAAATAAATTCAATCAATCAAATTTGCTCAACTGGAGGGGAACGAGCTTATTCGTGAACATTTCAGTAACACCCCGATTGACGTCTCCCCCTTTTACGTCGTATAGGAGATAGGTCCTCACTTTATGAATACCACTACCTGATTTGTGCCGCCTCAACCCCCACACTCACGTCGCTGACAGCATCATCGTCCGCCCTTTCTCGTTATCTATCGCCTCTCAGCCTTCGCCTCCACCACCTACTACCCCGTAAATCGCTTTTGGCTGACGTCGTTTGGACATTCGTCGCCGCGGCTTTCAGGAACGCATCCCTGACGTAAACCGGGGCACTGCTGTGTCAATAAAAATTGTGGGGACTGCAGGGGCAGCAGTGGTGCCACGGGCACGACTGCAAAACGCTGCCAAATCATCACGAACGCTGCCCTGTGACAAATACGCGTATCCTCCATCAGGCCAACAGCCACGGGCCAAAGTGGCGGCCCACGGTTGATGTTTCTGTTCCGAGGCAGCGCGAATTAAGGGCGTGGGTGAGCTCTTATCTGTGACAAAACAAAGCTGGTAGCCTCTTGTATGTATGTAGAATTTCTTTCGCACCCTACATAACCAACCGTACTAATCGGTGGTGCGGGGGAAGGACAACAAACTAAACACAAAAAGCAGTTCTAAAGAAAATCTTTGCAATCTAAGTTAAAAGTGCAAAGCTCCAGTGGCATCCTAATAATATTGAAAGAGCGTTCCAAGTGGCCGCAGAAGCACATCTGAAAGCATGATGGTTTGCCAAAAGTCGCTGCGAGGATGACCAGCGTCCGCATGATGGTTTATGCTCCTCGACAAGATCAGCAAGGTATTATGGTTCATTTGTGGCAAGAATTCTGTGTGTAATGAGCGCGACCTTATAACGTGTTCGTTTAGCAACTGAAAGCCAATGCAGCTCGGCGAGCACTGGACCGACATGTTCGGATCTCGCAGCACCCGTCACGACACGTGCCAGAGAATGTTGTATACGCAGCAGCTTGGTCATGTTTTCGTGCGAGACGTAGTGAGCTGTAATAATTGAGCCTTATCGATACTACGCTACACGCCACTGTGGTGGCTATGTCACGACTCGGTAGTGGTCGAATGTGTTGTAGAGCCGTGATATAAAAATTGCAGGACCCGACGACATTTTGCACGTGGTGATCAAACGACATTCCGGTCGAGTATGGTGTCAATGCTCTTTAGATGATCGCAAAACTGCCTCTCTGCAGCCGACGTGCAACAGGGCGTTTAGGCTTCCAGAGCTCATGCAGAACTCTTCCAAGTGGCCTTTTGGAAACGTGAGGACGACCGCAGCAGCAGTCAGCTGTAGCCAGCGACAACATTCCTATGCTTCTTCATCAGCGACGACGGGTCTGCAAGCCTCCTCCATCGCTGTCCGCTAACCAATCTCACGGCTTTGTCCATCGCCACACACCCTCTGCTCTCTGCGCCTTCCTTCGCTCACTCTCAATCCTCGTGTTCTGTTGTGCATTACCGCGTTTGGCATCCGTTCTGCCAGGGCCATTCTTGAGACGTGTCCCCACCACTGTTGTCTTCTGTCTTGGGTCTTTTGTCAGCTTAATATAAGACAATGCCGTCGCATGGCGCCCGTCACGATGTCGACCTCACAAAGCGCCACTCCAGCCCATGTGTCGCCAACTGCAGAAAGTTGAGAGTTAAAGTCCAGGCCCGAGATCAACTCAACCCATCATCTGTCTTGGGTGATAAAATAAAATATAACATAAAAAATAGTTCTTCTCTGTGCAAAAGTCAGCAGTGATTAGACTCGTCACAGGAATGTAGGAATTCCTGCATTGGCTCAGTAAAGCTAAGGGAGGAGAGCGCCGCCTAGTGCTTGTCTCGCGGGGAGACACTTTGTGTTTACCGCGAGGATATTGGCTGGCAACTGCGCCTCTACCGACAATAGAAACTAACGTGAATACCAATTGTCTATCATTCATAATTGTATTTGTGTATGGATGCAAGTTGACATTTTGCATATTTAGATGTATCCAAACAAACAACCACGCTTGGTGATGTGACCATGTGACTGCAGGCTTCGTGACTAACGAGGGCTGTCTGTGATTGGGCAAAATGGCTACTTCCTGCTAATCCACCCTACCCTAAATGCCTTGAGTGGAGCAAACATATGCGTTACGTATGTACGTTACGTATGTAATGCATATGTTACATACGTACACACGTATCCTGGTTGTGAGTGGGACTGTGCAATACATTTACAAGCGCTTGTAGGTATGCATTTTGAACTTCTTTCACACTGTACGTTGCCAACCGTGCTAATTGTAGGTGGGCGCTGGATTGCAAGCATGGTCGTGAAATGGTTCGGTCACTGGACATGCAATCTATAGAGAGTATTTTGATTCCATCTCCTGGCGCGGCAGTTGAAATACTGGGCAAGTTTCGGAAACTCTCAAGCCTCCGTCCACCCAGCGGTATGAATGGGTACACCACGCTGTGGTGTACCCATTGGCAGGTCGCGTGTGCTAGGCTAAAGTGTGGGTACTCCCACCTCTCCGGTGTAGAAGAGCAGGCACAAAATACCCTCTGGAGCTCCCTGTCGTGGAGGAGCTGGCTCCGCCAGCAGTGGCGAGATAGCGGGGCATTGAAGGGCTGCGCCTTTATCATTGTTTACAAGTACGCTACTCTGCGGGAAGTCAACTGGGAATTTGCAATTGCCACAACTGGCTTCGGGTCGTACATGGGAATGAGCTCCGCCCCAAGCAGGCTTTGCAGGGAGTTTCATTCAACATTCATCCACCTTGGCTGTTCTCTCATTCTCTATCACGTGAATTTCACCATCTCTGAGGAACCACAACACTGGAAAACCTCCCAGGGTTGTCTTATCGAGTCAGTTGAGGATATTCCCATACTCCTGGGCCTTGCGCAGGCTTTCCTTGCGTCTCCAGGCTCCGACAGCCGGGCCGAACCTCTGCCCCGCGGCCTCCCCCACGGCGGCGCGCGAGCCTGGGACAGTGCGCCAGCGCGCGGCCGTCGCTCCCGGCAGCTCCCGCACCTCCTCATCCTCCTCCATCTCCTCGTCGAACATCTCGCCAGGAGAGCACGCAACGTAGCCGTACTCCTCGAAGAATGGCGCCCCCGCAACCGCCGCCATTGAGAAGGATGAGGACGAAGAGGAGGAGAAACCCTCGGCCTCCCGGCTGGACCGGCGCGCCAGAAAGGGCCTCGCCCGGGCCCGGCACGCCCTCCCGTTCCGCCGCTCTTGTTGGGGCTCTGGCGGAGCGGCCCCATCCCACGAGGCGCCTGGGGCGCCGTCCTCGGAGGCTTGGTGCAGGACGGCGTCGTGAGGCAGCTCGTGCCGCGGGCACAGCTCGGGCTCGGAGCACGCCTCGGCCCGCGGCGCCAGCCCCCGGAATGGCTCCCTGTCGAGACACTGGCCGGGGCGGTGCAGCACGCCGTCCGCGGCTTGTCCGTGCCCCGGGCTAGGCGGCGAGGTGCGCGGGGACAGTAGCGGCGGCGGCAGCTGGGTCCCTATGGGAGTCGGCATGCGGGGGGGCGACGCGACGGCGGCGGTGGCGATGGAAGAGGCGGCGTGGTGGTAGCCGGACGGAGTCGGCGAGCCCTCGTTCGAGAGGACCGGCTGCTCGCTCGTCTCCGGAAACAGCTGGTGTCAGATGGAAAAAGCGGAGAAAGAACGGAGTGCAGACAACAAACGGTGAATCCAGCAACGCAAGCGTGGGCGTGTGGTGGTGCGGCACTTGAGCCTTCCTTACCCCTGTCGGATGAATTCGTATTGCTACCCCTGAGATGACCCTGCACCCCCGTAACCGGCGGAGTGTGAGGGCGATGTGTTCACGCCCGTGGGTGTCGGTGAGAAGCTGGGCAGCAGTGGCAGAGTCTGTGACCGCTGCTGCCCCACACTGCCTTGAGTAGGGCGACCGTGAGAGAGTCGTGAGTTCGATCGCAACGCGTTCGCTGCACCTGTGAGTCGACTGCGCAGGCAAAGCGCCCGGAGCTGCACTGTAGCAGCTGCACGGCGAGACGGCAGTCTTCCCGGCAGCGTTTCTACAATGCACACAGAGGACCCGTACATCCGGATATCCTGAATGGGGGGGAAATTTCTGTACAACACACACAAAGCAAAGACAAAGATGCCCCTATAGCCTGCACAGGCAAGTGCAGTTTAGCGAGCACCTGTTAATGCCGTCAGAGCGCACGAGGGGGTGGGTGACAAACATCACCGAGTGGCGATGTTTACACACTGCACGAGGTACTCATTTAAGGCTGAGTAGACCTTTGGGAGGCCCAGGACCAGTTCAAACATTTACGACTGTTATTGATCGTGAGCGGGAAGCTAATCCGGGTCGCCGGGTTCGTACTCCAATCCGCAAAATGCTGCACCACCGCCCCCCGCAACAATGCACACACACGTAAGGTTAAGTCATTTGGGTCTAGCTTTCTTGGGAGACGTCCCTCACGAGATGCCCCGAAGTCTCTGTGCGAGTCCTGATGTGTATTTGAATGAAGTTTCGTCAAAAAAGTTGCTCTCGACAAAAAAACTGACACCATGAGTGGTCATGATGTTATCCCTTCACCTTGCAATGCAGCCCCAATGCAGCGGTATCACACGGCCACAATAGTGGCTTAACTATAAATTTGTTTCCTGGAAAGCGAAACCTCAAAACAGCTCTAGGCACACACCTTAGGGCGTGGATCTGCGAGGTAAGGGTTGATTGCTGCCCTGGGTTACGTCTTCCTTATTGGCTTTTACTGTGATGATAAAACATCAATGAGAAACCTGAGGCAGCTAAGGAGTGGATTCCACAGACAACAGCCTAAAAAAATCAAAGACCTACGTGCACGATACATGATATTCATTTGATGAACCAGCAACGGCCCATCGAACATGGAATGGAACGTTGTTGGGCCAACATCAGTCCAACCACGTGCCAATGGCGGCCCAACGTTGCATGTTTACTGGGAGGCCAGCAGCCGCAGAACGGACAATACGGCTCGGCTCACAACAAGCGGCCACGACAGACGAGAGCGAGCAAGTGTCCTCCGGCAGCCGAAGCGATGAATCCTGCCCAGGTGTCATATGAAATAACGTAAGTGAACAAATAAAAAAAACAAGGCCTTCTCATGCAGGCTTCATCTGAGTGCGATGTACTGGTCCAAATTTGGCAAATTCGAAAAATGACACCGAACAAAATTACTCAATTGGGATTATGCAGCAACATGGCGCCCCCCTACCGGCACCAGACAAAGTGCCCGCTCGCAGCTCAGGAGCTGAGCCACCTTGGGCCACACGGGGACAGCTACCCTGTTCAAAGGTGCCGAGATGAGATGCGATGCAAGTTGCTTATCTCGCGTAGAGTGCTCCAAGACGCCCCGGCCTGAAGGAGGAGGGCACTGTCAGAATCGTAAATCAGTATCGTCGTTATCGCTACGGTGTGAGGCAGGGGGGTGGGGGGGGGCGGCAGGGTGGGGGTCGGGGGGGATGGGCCCCATACAGGCGAGGCGCTCACATTGTCCTCGGCCAGTGTTGCGATCATTCGCTCAGCCTCGGCCAGCCGCCCCGTCAGCACCGACACGCGACTCAGCAGGGTGCCCCTCTCCTCGTCAAACTCCTTGACCTGCGGTGGCAGCACGAGGGGCGGCAGGCAGCGCAGTGACTGACAGCCGGGCAGTTGGTGAAACTCGGTTTCGTTCTGGGCATGACCTCCAGGGCATGCGTACGGGGTTTTGACAGATCCAAACAGTGACCCGAGCGCTTCTCGGTGACATAGGTGTCAGCCACTCTCCATCTGTTCCTTGCGTATGGGATACGGTGTTGCCCCCCCTCGCGTGTGTGGGGTTTCTCCGGGCGCTCCGGTTTCCCTTCGCACCTAGAAATACTCATTAAGAGTGACTTAAAGCATCTTAATATAGAGTAAACCCTTGTTAATTCGACACATATGGGGCTCTGGCCTTGTCGAATTATCCAACATTACAAATTATGTACAATTGTACGTACTCCCCAGTACCACCTGCACCAATAAAAAAAATACCCACATTTTTTTCCAAAAATAATTTTCCAAAAAAAGTAACACCAGCACTGCAGGCAAATAAGGAGGATGTGGTACTGTAGGTCCCATGAGGTAGGTGACAGAGGTTGTGGAGGGGGGTTAATGCACCTAGTATGCACTTACTGTACTGTATGTTCGCTTCATCACTAAATTATAACATTTTCCCTTAACAATTATTGTTAACTTAAAGACAACAGGTCTGCACTCACGCTCACCACGTGCGCCACCACCAGACTGAGTCATTGTTTTGATCGTGGCAAGCGGCGTCGCACCACATGCTATGCTGAAATTGGACCATTCGGTACGGCAATTCGGATCATGGCGATTTACTAATATACAGTATGTGCCGAAAGTGCAGCCGTGCCGAATTATCCCCAATTCCGAATGATCAAATACCGAAATAACGAGGTTTTACTGTATAGAGGACAGCAGAGATTGACCAATTGCTGGTAGCGCCGGCTCACCGCCTAGACTCTGCTGCCTTCCAGCTCGTGCCTGTGGTTCCTCGGCGATTGTGAGAGATGCAGTGTGCACGAACGCCGACAGAGCGGTGTATACAAACTAAACTAGACCCAGGCGAAGCCACAATTCACTTGGTCCACAAAAGCATCTGAGACCAGACAGGCATCGAGCGAACACGTGGGTGATGTCACATTTCTGCCCGTGGAACTACATAACTTCCCGTGATGAATGAGCGCAAGGCTCGCTGGGGAACCATCGTAAAGCAGGATCGTATTGTGGTCGCGTCTGATTGGCCCATCACCTGGGCTGTGCATGTGTTTGGAGGTTGTTGCACATTGAGTTGGCAAGGCCCTCCGGGCCTGCCTCTCCTGACCCTTCCCTTGTGTTCTGGTGGCTTCTGAACCTCGGCCAAGCTACTGCATAACCTGCCGACATTTTATTACTTTTTAACTTGTGGCCTATATTTACTCCATCTAGACCAGGGGTCGGCAACATGAGGCTCCGGAGCTGCATTCAGCTTTTTAAGGACCGCTTCATAACATTATTTATTAAGGACCACAATTCCGTATTCAACACATGCCGGAGCCACGGTCCAAATTAACCAAATTAAAAAAAAAATCCACGTTGTCTCAACTATGGCATGTGGTTGGGGTTGGAGCCCAAAGGCTGGGGTTGGAAGAATGTTGCATGTTTGCTGGATCCTAAACTATTCCTGATGTTCTTTCTTCCCATCGCTCTTTCATCACTCCTCCTCACCCCACTTCTGCCCCGTACCATCGCCTCTGGGGTGCCACAGTGGCGAGAAGTTAACTACCTCGCCTGGGATACAGGTCGTGGGTTTGATCACAACCCCGACGCCTCTATATTTGGAGTTTGCATGTCTCTCTACCCACGGTTGCGTGGATTTTTTCCCGGGTCCTCCGGTTTTTCACTCCACATTTAAAATCAACATCACACGTTTAGAGTATTTGGCTCCGATAAAAAATAAATCCCACGTGGTAAGCCACTTCATTGAGCTAACATTTGTGCTTCTGAAAAAGAGCTACGTAGCTCAGTGGGCCTTGCCTGGTCAAATTTAAATATGAGATAATAAATAAGTATCTGTCCCAACATTCCCACGTGTGCGCCACACGACTCACCGTGCGGCAGATCTTCTCCTCCAGGTCGCACTTCACTCTGCCGATGGCGTCAAACCCGTTCTGTAGCCTGCAAGATCCAGACAACGTGGCGCGTATGTCAGTGACCCGAACGCGATAGGCGATGTTCGGCAATGGTGATGCGGTGGCCACTGCTGCTAACACCACTTGCCCTGACAGCCTGCTAAACGCTATACGGAGAATAAATTGTCTTGGTGAGCCCATGCCATATACGGTAAACAAGAAAGAGGGTTGGCAGTCATTGCTTGCCGGGTGTTGTTCACAGAGATCACCATCCCACTCACCATGCCAGAATCAACAGCCATATCGCAAACATGCATTCGAGTGGTTAATTTAACACTTTGTTACTTTCGTGCATGTTTTATTTTTTTAACAGATATCAAACTTCCATGCACCTCCAATTAGTACTGTTGGCTATGTACGGTGCGAAAGAAGTTCAACGTACATACATACAAACGTTGTACCTATGGCTACACCCCCTGGGAAGGGGAGCAGAGTCAAGGATATAATTCATGGATAAAAAGAGAAAGGAACTGGAGATAAAGAATGGGAGATACGAGGAAAAGGATGGAATAGGAATGGAGAAACGGGAGGCGGTGAGACGTTACCTCGCCTGGTATACAGGAGGTCATGGGTTCAATCCCGATCCTGACGCCTGTATAATTTGGGTTTGCATGTCTCTCTCCCTGTGGTCGTGTGGATTTTTCTATGGGTCCTCTGGGTTTTCCCTCCACATTTAGAAACAAATCCACGCGTTTAGAGTATTTAGCTGCTATAAACTTCCACATGGTTAGCCACTTCATTGAACAATCATTTGTGGCCAGGTTGCTTCTGAAAAAGAGCTATACAGCTCAGTGGAATTTACCTGGTACAACAAATTGGTTTTATTTTATTGGAAGGCCAGGGGTTCGAATCCCACGTAGTGATTGACACATATGTACCATCATCCCCCTGGGATCTGTAAAATGGGTACTAAATTATGAGAAATCAAAAGTGGTAATTTTGTAGTTAATACTGAGCCCTGCCACGGGAACGTGGAACTTTCCCCACTGGGTGAGGGTTCCCATTGGAGACGAGGGCCGCTGATACTCATTCAAACACGGGAGACATTTCTCAATACATTTGCTCCAAGGTCCATTGCCGTTTTGCAAACAAGCTGTGCTCAACAGTCCACACAGAGCCAGCAAGAAACAAGCAACCACGTGCCTGTAGATATAAATAATAAATAAAGTTCAAGTTAAAAGCGGACCCTGACCTCGCCATGACCTGGCCATGGGGCATCTTTCAGTGTCAAGCCACTGGCGCCCCCTGCGCTCTTCATAGAGACTCAGTGCGCAGCCATGCGCGGTGACACACGCAACCAACTCCATGCCCTGAAGACTTGGGTTGATGGATCGTGCGCGGGTTTGTAAAACTCCAAAACCCACTGGATGTACGGTGGGCAGGAGATAGCGGTGCGGCGAGTGGGCCCGCGATGCTTGTATGCTTGGGTTTTTCCGGTTACCCTAATTTCCTCCCGCTTGCAATGCAGCGCTTTACAGAGTGCACTGCGTGCGAGGGTCGCCGACAGAGATGAGCACAGGTCCTGCACATGCCAATGCAGCAGTGAGGCTTCCCTGGACTATTAAAATCGCTTCGGTATGCCCTCTAAATATAACAGCAGCACGCGATGTTTATAACAGCGTTCTGAGTGCACGTATAATGACCCAAATTCCCGCAGGCCAACGTTCTACACACGTGTAACGACTGCATCCATCTTACACCAATGCCCCATGTCATCTCACCAAGTAATTTAAGACTGCATTCAAAATACCAGACATCTCGTCCGCACTATGGCAGCTGTGTGTGCTTGGACGGTCGCGTGTTAAGGGGGTGGTTTACATCTCAAAATAGGGCTGGCGACGCCAGATTGTCATCGCCGGGAAACGTCGGGGGAAGATGAGCGGTGCAAAGTCGACGAAAGTGTGGAAAAAGGGCAGCAGAGGGAGAGTTACGCAGTGCCCGGCTGAGCTGCAGGAATTTCCACGATCTGCGCTGCATTTAGGTCAAATGCTGCTGCTGCTGCCGCTGTCACTGCAGTTGCAGCACGTTACGAAACACAGCGGTGCAAAAAGGCATACTTGAAATAGTGCCGTTTCCGTTCCGCGCTGGTTGTCCACGTGATGTTTACAGCCGGCGTGGCTTTGAGCTTGTCACCCAATTCCTCTGAGGCGCACGGAACGTTCTTTTTTTTACTCTTACGCCGAGGTGAGGCGAGGTTGGCGAAGGCCTCGTGACAGAGGGAAAATGACCCCCGTTCACCCGAATTCACCCCCGCCTTGTTTCACAAGCTCCGCACGGCAGGGAGGGAGTGGACCGAGCGAACGCTACCCTTATGGCGGGAGGGGGGGTCACAGTCAGGGTTAAGGGCCGTAAAACAGCAGCGGCCCCTTCATCTGCACCCAACAGGGGGTGTTTGTCAAAGGCAGGGACAGAGGGTCACCTAAGGATATCCCTGACAGGTGTGGCTCGCTGTGTGTGGGTGTTGCGGTGAGCAGGGGCAGGTGGCCTCATCTGAGACCCTGGGGAGTCACAAAAACACCTTGTTCGCTGGCAACCAGAAAACGAGCGAGGTCAGGAACCCAACAGCAAATAATTTCGTTTGTTGAGCTTCGCGTTTCTTCGCCGGCCTTTGGACGACAAACCTCACAGATGAACCCATTCAGTCATTGGAGATTTCACTTGAGGGAAGCACCAACAAAAACTCTCGTGAATTTGAAAGGCAGCATGGATTTGGCAATGGGACAGCTGCCATTCTACTTGTGTAAATGAAGACTAGCACCGATTTGCCGTGTAAGCACCGATTCCTGGCTCCCTAGTCGTTCCAGGGGGGAGTTGCTCCGTGAGATAACATGTAGCTGGAGTCAAGGGGCACATACTTTGGATGTGAGGGGCCTTCGGTCTGGCAGGGGATTAGTATTTATGTGGGTTCACGTTGAGGTTGTGCATCAGTGTTGAGACTGTGAGTCAGTGTTGAGGCATTGGGTCAGTGTTGAGGCCTTGGGTCAGTGTTGAGCCAATGGGTCAGTGTTGAGGCTGTGAGTCAGTGTTAAGGCCGTGGGTCAGTGTTGAGACTGTGAGTCAGTGTTGAGGCTGTGGGTCAGTGTTGAGGCTGTGGGTCAGTGTTGAGGCTATGGGTCAGTGTTGAGACTGTGAGTCAGTGTTGAGGCTGTGGGTCAGTGTTGAGGCTGTGGGTCAGTGTTGAGGCCTTGGGTCAGTGTTGAGGCTATGGGTCAGTGTTGAGGCTGTGAGTCAGTGTTAAGGCCGTGGGTCAGTGTTGAGGCTGTGGGTCAGTGTTGACGCCACGGGTCAGTGGAAACGCCATGGGTCAGTGTTGAGACTGTGAGTCAGTGTTGAGGGTGAGTCAGTGTTAAGGCCGTGGGTCAGTGTTGAGGCTGTGGGTCAGTGTTGACGCCACGGGTCAGTGGAAACGCCATGGGTCAGTGTTGAGACTGTGAGTCAGTGTTGAGGGTGTGAGTCAGTGTTAAGGCCGTGGGTCAGTGTTTAAGCCGTGGGTCAGTGTTGAGGGTGCGGGTCAGACGGCAGTTTCTAACTTGAAGGCATCGTATTCTCCTGGTCTGCCATCTGAGTTTGATCAACCGGGAACCAAGGCAGAACTCGAGACCCTGGCACCAACGTCAGTGGCAGAGGTGTCGATGTTCATCACATGACTGCCAAATAAGACGTTGCCACTCGACTACATCCATATGTCGATTCTCAAATCATGCTCGGACGTGCTTGCACCGCCGATTATCCACCAAGCAAATATTTCGTTCAGTGAGGGGCTGTTTCCCAGGCTGGTTCAAAATGGCGCAGGTAACGCTGTTCTTGAAAAAAGTTGGTTTGAGCCATATAGACCCTGCAAAGCTATCGCCCAATCTCAAACCTGAGCACGATTTCAAAGGTCATGGAGCGGCTTTGTCTGAAGCTGTTACTTTCCCACGTCGCTGCCACAGGCAGATTCCAGCCATTGCAATCCGCGTACTGGAAGTTCCACAGCACTAGGACGGCTCTACTAAAGTTCACTGATGACCTCTACAAGGTCATGGATGACTGGTGCTCCGCAGCCATTTGCTGGCCTCGATCTCTCAGATGCCTTTGACACCATCGACCATGAGATACTCATCGGGTGGCTAAAGTCAAAGTTCAGGTACGACACTGGGGTGGATTGAGTCATACCGACATGGTCGATCACAGTTCGTCAAGCGAGGTGGTGAACAGTCATCGCTTATGCCGTGCCTAGTCGGCATACCACAGGCCTCCGTCCTCGGGCTCTTCTTATTTTGAACGTACAGTTGATCATCGATTATCCGGCGTGCGATTATCCAGCTTCCAACATCCGGTGGTCGTGGCCTGATCCTGCGAAGCCGACATGCAATCGGGAAATTGCCGGAAAACCACTGCAAAGGCTGTAACCAGTCCAGCGATCGGCACAGTGTGCAAATATTATATATAGAGTACATTATACACTACATACAACAATTTAAACAATGAAAATACTATACTCTTTGTTTTTTTCGGTAAAGTCACGTAGGTAAAATAAAATAAATTAATTAAATCACGACGTTTCGGAGGCAACACAAGCTTCCGTCTTCAGGTGGAACTGTCACAGCAGAATATGTGTCAAGTGGACAGCTCTGAGACAACCGGGATTATATACAGGTTAAGGGGGGGGGGGGCCAAGAAGGGACGTGGGTGGGGGGGGGGCTGAGTTAAGCCGCCTTTTGCTATGCTGCAGGGGGATGAATGAAAATACTGCACATATATACATTTCCATGACTAATAACTACAGTAATAAAAACAAATATACAAAGTGCGATCTGGCGAAAATTGCGCTGTGTAATTCAGCGTTCGCCGGAGCACGGGTCTAAAGGCTGCATCAGTCCGGCAATCATCAAGCACATTCTTGTGTTGATACTAGAGCCTAGTACGTACATCACCCTATGCAGAGCCTTTGAGATTGGAGTCGTAAGTACGGTACAGTAAACACGATAACTTTTTACAGAATAT